GTATGGGGGTATTGGGGGCTGCTATGGGGGTGTTGGTGGTGTTATTAGGGGTTCTGGACCCATTTTTTGCGGGGTGCCGACAACCCCCGACTGGTAGGTGCCGACCAGCCGATCGGTCGGCGGGTCGGCAGCCGACCAGTCAAGGGCCGCCGATCGTCGGGGGGTGCAACACTGCCGATTACCATAAAAAATAGGCAACTTCCAAACTTTTTAACCACTTGTAATTTTTTGTGAAACTTCACCCGCCTTGTTTGTTTTTGTTTTGGAGCCTTCGAGACAACTTTTTTTCTGTTTTTTTTACTAGTTTTTTTTTTTTGTTTGCCGAACATTTTCCCAAGATTTGTCRGCAAGTTGTAAATCTTGATACACTCATCATTCTCAGTAGCTAAGGTCTCTTTTTCATCAAATCAAAAAGCTATTGCAGATAACGGGAATTGAAACCCATGTGGTATACAAAATCATTCCTAAACCCTAAACTAATTGTCCTATTTATGGTTTGGCATTTTGCAGGAGAGTACCACTGCCCTGTGCTTAACAAAGTGTTCACTGAGTTCACACACATTGTCGCTATTCGTCCAACGGGCAATGTCTATTGTTAYGAGGTAGCAAGCAAACTCTTGTCCTCTGACAAAACTCTGTAAAGACCAAAAGCATCTGTCTTCTTTCCTTTCTGTAATTAATTAATTAATTAACATTTATTAATTGATTCATTTCAATTAACTAAATAATAAGTTAATCATCTGTCTTGCAGTTTTCTTTGAACCCTCCCCCCGCCCCTTTTCTCTCTTTTTCCMAAAGGGACACTTCTGCTAAAATACTAGATAGGGACACTGCTTTTCAATAATGATAGGTTAGTAATTATTAATTAATAATAATTGGCCTTCTATTGATTATTATCCAGAAATGTCCTTTTCRCATTTGCAGAATCGTAAGTTTTATCAGACCGGAAAACGTGGTCCAAATTGGAACGATACAGAGAAGGATAGCATGGCCCCTGCACATTTAAAAAAGAGAGAGGAAAGGAAGGRAAGAAAAAAAAGGAAAAAGAAACAAAAGAGAAAGTGTGGTCCAGACTCCAAAGTGTTCTAAGCCATAGTAAATATGTTAGTACTGCCCTGTGTGGAACCACCCAGGTTCAAATTCAGCACAGAAACATGCACCCAAAGTTTGATTGAAGGCTAGGCATGAGAAATGGGACTGTACTGTCCTAAAGTCCATTAGAATGGTCCTCAGTCCTACGGAACATGGTCTAGTGCGCATCTGTTTTTTTTTTTTTTCTTTTCTTTTTTTCTTTTTTTTTTGGTCTAGTCCATAATCTCAGTCAAAGACCTGTGGTATGCAGACTCCTGTAGAGTCAATATATGGGGTAGAAACTGAGGTCCAAAGTCTAAGGGTCGTAGCTTTTGAWCTAGCAAAGTTAAGGAGTCAGCAGTTTGTCCTACAGWCTCATAAGGCTCTAGAACTGATATGAAATCCGTACAGACGTGACTACCGTCTTCACCCGAATAGAGCACCCRGTAATTGTTGCCGYATSTGGAYCGAAAGTTGCACCAAATACAGCTATAATGACAGGGCGTTCTATTCGCGTGAAGACAGTACGGGTTGTAACCTTAGGTCAGGTCAAAGTTGTAGGGTCCAAAAGTCACTTCCCTTACTCTGAAGAGGCATCAGAATGTCCCCTTGGTGAATAGCTACTGGGTCAAGGGTTGAAATGAGGCACCCCATGCCTTCAGACTCGCAAAGTGGACTCCAGGAAAGTCAGCAGTCAAGCCCTACCCAGGCACAGAAATCAAAGAGCCAAMGGTTTCCCAGGAGTCAACCRCGGCCACMGATCTCACACAATCCAAGGGCTCAGTGCAGGTTCCAGAAGTTCCAAGATCCCCTAGGTTCAGSCACACGTTGGCTGCGAGCAAATCTGGGCCACACAGATTGAGAAGTCTCAGCCTTTCAAGGAGGCAAACTGGAGGCAAACGCGGCCGAGCAAACACAATAGAAGAGGTCGGTCTGCCCCAGCTCATGGATTCATTCTGCCTTGCGCTGCTACAGTGCACACGCTACAGTGCACGTGCTATAGTGCACCTGCTATAGTGCACGTGCTATATGGAGTAACGCGCGACAGTGACGCGCTACAGTGACGTGCTACAGTGACACGCTACAGTGCGCTGGTACAGTGAGTGTGAGAAAAGGCAGGCAGAGAGAGTGAGAGGCTGTCATGGCGAGAGTGTGAGAGAGTGGTAGCCATAGCCTGTAGAAGGTGTTGATGCACCACCATAGCTACAAGAAAGAGGAGAGGGGAGATCTGAGATAGAGCCCCAGGCTTGGGGGGAAGAGGAAGCTGACCTGGAGAGTGTTTCAACACGGAGTATTCAGCAATAGCTGCTGCTGAGAAGATCAGTGGTTCCATTTGCTCCACATTCTGCATCCAAGACTCAGAACTAGTGTCGTGGACTATAGAGCTTGTCTGGCACCATAAAGAGGAGTGTTCAGGTTCGGAGGTGGAGACCTGACGGAGGAGGCAACCATTGCACAACGGTTGGCAAGAAGATGTAGCAAGGGGTTACCTGYTGACTGGCGGCCATAGCTACCTGAGGAAGAAGACTCCAAGATGAGGGAGACCGGTGTTTCTTGTTCAGCACTTGTCCTGTACAGCGAGTTTTGGCACTTGTGCTACCGCCTTCAGGCTGAATAGATTGCCTGGTCATTATGGCTGCATCTGGACTGAAAGTTGACCCAAATTCGGCTATGATGACCGGGTGTTCTATTCGGGTATTAATAAGAAGCATAAGGGAAGGAAGAGTGATGAAGCGCCTGAGGGCTGTGTTTTTTGTAGCTATGGCTTGCGGGTGGAAAAGTAACTGGACTGATGCTTTGCTTAATAGAAAAGAAATGAGGAGCCAGGACCATAAAGGCCCAGTTCTTTTTATTTTTCATTTGTTTTACCAAAAAACAGGGGCTTATAAGACCCAGTTCGCATGGAGCAAAGAGAGTGAATGAACAGGAAATGAGGTGTAAAAAAAAAAAAAAATTCTGAAAAAAAACCTAAAAAAAACTAAGAAAGAAGAAAAGAATGCGACGTCCATTGCGTTGTTCGCAACAATCCATTCAAATTGGAATGATACAGAGAATGAAGATTAGCATGGCCCCTGCACAAGGATGGCACTGTAATGACCCGCCAAAACACAGACTGAGAACACTGCTGATTTCTTGGATTTGCCGCTGGAATGAATGCCTTGCTGAGATTCCCGCATWMTGCTGTGGTTTGCAAGTCTGYGTGTGTGTGCATGCCTGTCTGAGTGCTTGTCGSCTGAGTGTGTGTGTGACCTGCAAGGGTACTTGTTGGTTGAAAGGCCCTGCAGGGCCGGTACTTACCTGTGGCTGTGACTTTGAGGGTTGCAGCGGGGAAAACACTCAAGTAGCGGAGGTAGGCCCGCGACAATTAGAGTAGCGGGAAAAACACTRAMGTAGAAGGTAGGCCGGTACCACTCAAGTAGTGGTAGAAGTGTYGGGTACTGGAGGCCGAGCAGAAGAAAACAAAAAGTTGGCATTTTTAGAGGCCCTGTAGCGTTAGGTTAGAGGTAGGCCGGTACCAGTCCAAGTAGCCCGAGTCTAGGGCCTGTCCGGACGATAGCAGAGCCTGCAATGATGTTTCCCTCCGAAAGGGAGGAGGTACCGGTTGCTGGGAGGCCGCTCGGCCTAGGAAGTCACCGCCCAAGAGGCCAGTAGGCCGCTATATCTTCCGGAGGAGCAAGCAGCTCMTCCTCATTTGCGGTATGCAAGGGTTGGCGACATGCTGCTGGAGCCAAGCGCTGGACTTTGGCAGCGCTACCTGGAGGTGASGAGCAGCTGGGCGCTCAGCCTGGCTATGGCGAGCAGCCCCGCCTGAGGAGGAGGAAGAAGGGGGCGAAGGAGGAGAGTGGTGAGGTACCTACCTGGCTATGGTGGACACCATCTTCATCACCTTGTTGGGCGCTGCATCTGGAAGGCCCCAGTTGGGGTAGTGCCGCACCAAGGAAGTTCGAGGCAGAGTCAGGCATGGCGGCTTAGTCAGCAGCGGCATAGCTGCTTTGGGTTGTCCTTTGGACAGGAGTGCAGCGACATAGCTGCTTTGCGTTATCCTTTGCACAGGAGGGAAGAGCCCTCAGTAGTCCGCCATAGCCTAGCCATGTGAGAGGTGGAAGAAGGGGGGGAAGCCATAGCTGTGGTGGACCTATTGTGATGTCAGCAGTAAGAGGGAACTTCGGACATTGATACTGGTTCATCCACTCATTGTCATTATTATTATTGGAAGAAGAATAAGATTGGCGAAGTGAAGGAGGAGGAGGAAGGTGGAGAGAGAAGGGGGATTTGTCATTGGTCTTGCTGGTGTACATCTTCTTCTTCTTCTTCTTTCTCTCTTCTTTGGTCTCTATCTCTTTGCAAGTGCTTTCATTTCTTTCGCAATTGCGTGGCATTGTCTTTCATTGTGAATTTGCACTTTGGGAATGACCAGGATTGTAACAACACACATAAATCGAGAAATGGTTCAAAAAAAAAAGAAAAAAAGAATGACTCTGAATGAGATGAGATGTGACAAAAAAAAAAAAAGCGATTTGGTTGTCGCTTCAAAATGCCAATGGTTTTAATTTCACCGAAGTGCTGCTGGGTTATGTCTTCATTTTTTAATCACTCCTCTTGTTGGCTTGTTTTTTCTTTTTCCACAGGCTGTGAGGGAGTTGAACATTAAACCGAAGAATTGGAAGGACCTTCTTACCGATGAACCTTTCAAACGGGAGGATATAATAACAATTCAGGTTTGGGGAGGGTACACTACACCACCACAACCTCGAACTTTAACCAACTTGTTGTTTGTGTGAGTTAAGTCAAATGCCATGTCTGGTTGTACACTATCTGGTGCGTGTGATGCGTCTGCTTCCCCCTGCCCTGGTCTTGGGCGTGCACCCGCAGTAGGACTTTCCTGGATGAATCTGACGGGAATTCCACCTTGAGCTGGATGCACCTGACCGCAATTATGTGCAGAGCTCAGTCGAAAAAGTCTTAGTGTGAGCACGCTCTCAATTGAGATTGACTCAAATCAAGTCAGATTCCCGTATTTCAGAGAGGTGGGAAGTCTGTTACAAGTTACAACCTYGGTCAAACTTTGRTCAAAGATTGATTAAAGATTGGTCAAAGCTTGGTCGAAGTTTGGTCGAAGTTTGGTCAAAGTCTGGCCACAGATTGGTCAAAGATTGATCAAAGATTGTTCAGCGTTTGGTCAAGGTTTGGTCATATTTCGGTCAAAGATTGGTCAAAGTGTGGTTAAGTCTAGTCAAAGTCTGACGACTTATGGGACGAGTCTGCAGTACTATGGACAGAGCTGTAGCTCATGCAATGTTAGGATTTTGTGTGCGAAAGTTTCAAATTAGATGGGAGGAGGACTGCGTCCAGATGGCTGACGTGCTCCAGCTATGTGGCGAGCCAGAGTGTAGAGGACAAGTTGGGTCCGTGAGGGCCAAACATGACGGGCCTATGAGGTCTGGCTGGATGCGGTCTGCATGTCAGACGGCGCCATGTGGCAGACGGCTTGCGTGCCACCAGACATTGTGCTAGGAAGTTGATCTGTGTGGATGAGTGGGGAACATGATGGGAGTGTGGTAATGTGGAGAAAGTGGGTGCTATCGTGGAGGGGTCCACCAACCTGGAGCAGTCCACAAAGTTGAGACCATCAGGATTGGCCATGGTTTCTGGCTGCTACCGTCTTCACCCGAAAATAACGCCCGGGCGTTATATTCGTTTATAATGCCCGGGCGTTATATTCAGTAAATTTGTGGTAACTGTGGTGAGGCCCCAAAATTCCGAAAAAAAAAAAAAAAAAAATCGGAAAAAAAATTATGTTGTCCAGGATTGGAATGCAACCAACGTTTGGCTGAGGGTCACTTCAGAATTCCTTATAAACTCGGAGAAAAAAAAAAACGAAAACTAAAGCCAAAATATACCTCTTGGAAGTCAAAACCGCATTCAACCCTCTTTAAAACCCATGTATACCCCCTTCCCCGCCCTTTAAAACCCATGTATACTACCTCTTCAAGGCACTCTGCCCATGGAACATTCAAATATAACAGGCGGGTGTTCTATTCGAATATAACACCCAGGCATTCTATTCGAATATAACGCTCGGGCGTTCTATTCGAATATAACGCTCGGGCGTTCTATTTGAAGGGGCGTTCTATTTGAAAAAAAGTGAGTGAAAACGAAAATCTCATCTTTTTAGGGTAAGTTGATAGAACGCCCGGGCATTATTTTCGGGTGAAGACGGTAGGCGGCTGGTATGCTGCCGAGTGTCGATGCTGCAGAGAAGAGAGTGGCTTGTGTGAGCGGGTAGGAGGGAAAATATCATGCGCGAGGAACAGGAATAACGGGTTAGGGCCAAGGCCTGACTGGTGCGATAGATATGGTTGAACTTTGAACCTGGCCAGTTTTCTGACCAGGTTCATGCGTTCCAAGCATGAAGATAGCACCCGTGGGGCCTGGCCCTGCATTGAGTGGGGATGTTTGCACAAGTGCTAGGCTCCCACGGGTGCTAGGTTGGTGCTGAGAAAGCACGAACCTGGCCAGTTTTCTGATCAGCTGCATGCTTCCTGGAAATGAAAATAGCACCATTGTGGCCTGGGCCCTGGTCCTTAGTTTCCCTTTAGTTTCCCATGGATGTCTGCATGAGTGCCAGAACCGCAGCGAAATACCAGCAAGGGGAGAAGGAAGATGGAAGCTATGTGGCTGGATTTTGGTTGGGCTATACGGGTGGGTTTGGAAGGGTTGCGTTTAATCTTTTTTTTTTTGTTTTCTTTTTTTTTTTGGGGGGGGGGAGGGGGGGGGGAGGGGGGGGGGCGTGCAGAAGAAGCAGGCGCTTTTGTTAAGCTTTGTAGTACTTAGAACATTCTGTCAGTCATTTTTTGTTATCGATCATGCTTGAGCAGTGGTTTAGCAGATTGAACTGCAGACCACCCCCCACTGCAGTCAATCAGAAGTACTTGGGACTTCTGATTGGTCAAATGGATCATCCGTGCACGATTGGATTTGGAATGGATTRGATGCATGAGCACTGCACGATTGATGATGATGAATGGCCGTCCGGGTGATCATATGCATGCATCATTTGATATGCATGGGGGATTTTTGGGACCCGCTACCTCATATATTTGCGTGCTGTGGAACAATGTTTGATTAATATGTGGATAGTCTTTGATTAATTTGTGGATGATGTTTCATGTCCACAGATTCCACATTAATATAATATTTGGATCATGTTGGCTGAAATGTTTGCGGGCCAACATGTATATCCGTGTGTGTGTGAATGCGCATGCGATGCAGGACCCAAACAACTTGGATGCCAAGCTACTTGCAGACTTCGACCATGTCAAGCATGATATCAAGATTAATGATGAAGGTACGGTTGGGGTAAACGTGGGAGGGYTTGCTAAGTTTTTTTTTGACTGTATTGCTCTTTATTTGGGGGATTTGGAGGGACCAGATTCCAGGATTCAGGGGTATAATAACCCCGATGATGCAAAATTGGGCTGGCCTTCTTTCTCCTCCTCTTGTGAGATGTGAACCTCAGTAAGAGCCGCTCATCCGCTAGTGGTCCCTATATTGCAATTGATGCTGTGCTTGACACTGCTTGTGCTTCCAGCAGAGGGGGCTGCAAAAGATTATWGTAAGACAATCATGGTAACGGACCGCACGTCCGGACCGGGTTCCAGACAGTCCGGAACAAGATGTCCGGTGTCCGGTGTCCGGTCCTTATGTCCGGATGAGGCCCCCAGGGCAAAAATCGAAAAATAAAGGGGTGGCCCAGGATGTTTTTCGGGTCCTGGCTGCCCCTTGAAGTTTTTTGGGGTGGCGGGTTTCACACAGGCCTGAGAAATATCAAAGTGGCCGTTTCGACGTTCCACCGGCAGCTGCTGCCCATTGCACACACACACGCACACGATGCGATGCTTCCATAGACCACACCCGAACTGGTCCTGTCCGGTCTGTAGGGGTGGCC